GTCGTTGAATGTAAGACTTAGTGTAGTCAATGAAGTATTTTTCGCCAAACCATCACCCAGACCACATGACCAGTCTCCAAGCAGGTCACGGCAGTCGCTGACTGTGAGACTTAGTGTAGTTAACGAAGTATTTTTCGCCAAACCATCACCCAGACCACGTCCCCAGTCTCCACTCGGGTTAAAACACTTGCTGAATGTAAGACTTAGTGTAGTTAATGAAGTATTTTTCGCCAAACCATCACCCAGACCACGTCCCCAGTCTTCACCCAGCCTACCGTACTGGTAGAATGTAAGACTTAGTGTGGTTAATGAAGTACTTTTCGCCAAACCATCACCCAGACCACGTGTCCAGTCTCCACTCAAGTCACCGCAGAAGTTGAATGTAAGACTTAGTGTAGTTAATGAAGTATTTTTCGCCAAACCATCACCCAGACCACGTGTCCAGTCTCCACTCAAGTTATTGCAGAAGTTGACTGTAAGACTTAGTGTAGTTAATGAAGTATTTTTCGCCAAACCATCACCCAGACCACATGTCCAGTCTCCAAGCAGGTCACGGCAGTCGCTGACTGTGAGACTTAGTCTAGTTAAGGAAGTATTTTTCGCCAAACCATCACCCAGACCACGTCCCCAGTCTTCAGTCAGGTCATGGCTGTCGTTGAATGTAAGACTTAGTGTGGTTAATGAAGTATTTTTCGCCAAACCATCACCCCGACCACGTCCCCAGTCTTCACCCAGCCTACTGTACTGGTAGAATGTAAGACTTAGTGTGGTTAATGAAGTACTTTTCGCCAAACCATCATCCAGACCACGTGTCCAGTCTCCACTCAAGTCACCGCGGAAGTTGAATGTAAGACTTAGTGTAGTTAATGAAGTATTTACCGCCAAAACATCACCCAGACCTCGTGCCCAGTCTCCACTCAGGTCACTGTGGTCGTCGAGTATAAGACTTAGTGTGGTTAATGACGTGTTTTCTTCCAAACGATCTTTAAGATTGCGTACCCAGTGTGAACCAGAGAAATCCTGTTTAGAGATGTCGAGGCTTGAGGAATTGTGCTCAACTGATGAAAAAACATTTCTTGTGTCATTGAGATCTTTACAACTCCAGGCATCTGAGGCCACACTGCAGACTTTAAAGGCAAACCTATATTCGCCATTAAAGGTTAACTCTTGAAGAGCACTGTTTCCACCTTTAGTTAGTTCTCCCCAGATGTTGATATTCAGAGAGGACAGGGTCTTGCATGGCTTTAAATAACTTACAAGATATTCAGCGACACTTTTTGTTACTTTTCCATGGATGTTCAAAGTGACACAAGAACTTGACGATGTTGTCAAGAGGTTACAGAGAGTGTCTGCCCCTGCACAACTCAACTCGCCCCAAAGGTTTAAAGTTAATGACTGCAGTTCAAAACCAGGGCAAAGACAAGCCACCTGTGTCTTCGATATGGTTCCAGTGATATTTGGATGAAATGCAACTGACATCTTTGTCTTTTTTGCCTCTAGCACTTTCTCAGCAATAGTCACCCAGTTGTCAGGAAGCTCTCCAAACACTTTCACTTTCAAAAAATCTAAAGCACTGTTTTCCAGAAAACTTCTTTCTAAGGAGATAGCAGCAGAATAGCTTAATTTTCCATAAATGATCAGAGTGAGGGATTTTAAAATGGATTCTGCTACAAGTGTTTCGCCAAGAGACGTAGCTAGTGAATCCTGCATCTCACAATAGATGATGAGGGTAAGAGTGGTCAGAGATCTATTGGACAAGA